ATTACAGACAACAAAAGTCCTCGCTTCTCTCCCACTTCTCTCCCACTGGAAGACTGCATCTTTTTCTTATATCCATTAACTTCCCATTCAGTGACTGGTACTGTCAGACAAAGCAGAGGGAAGTGCCTGAAACCAGCATTAGAATGTGTAACAGGGAAGGTGAGCAGACTGCTTGGGTTCAAATCCTAGCTTGACATACTCCAGTGGTGTGAACTTTGACAAGTTATTTAATCTCTTGGTACATAACTTTCCTCTTCAGTGATATGTCGATAATTAAAGTACTTACCTTGGAAACTTGTCTGGAAACTTACTTTGGAAACTCAAAGACTCAGAATGCTACCTAGCTAAGTTCACTATTACTGCTGACTACTCTTTTTCTTTTAGAGTTCTTGTTTCACTCCAGACCACTTTTATTTTTCTTTGTTTCTTTTTTTCTCTTCCATAAGTATTAGTTTCCTATTACTATAGTGACAAATTACCATACATTGCAGTGGGTTAACCAATACAAACTTGCTATCTTATAGTCTGGGATACAGAATTCTGAAAAAAACTGGCTGCATGCCTTCTGGAAGTTCTTGTTTTCCTTTGCTAGCTGTTAAGAGGTGGCCTGCATTCCTGGTTTTTGGGTCCTTCTTCACATTATCCTAACTTCCAATTGATGATCAACTTGTTTCCCTTGAAAAATGATTCTATAAGTCCATCCAGGCAATCCAGGACAATTTTATTCATGTCAAAATTTCTTAAATCATATCTAAAAATTCCCTTTGCCCATAAAAACTAGTATATTTACAGGTTCCATGAATGAAGACTTGGGTCTCTCTGCTAGGCCTTGGCGTTCTGAATAATGTTTTTACCCTAATCTGACAAAACCTGAATCCAATTTAGCAAGAGTTCTAGCTGAATTTCTAATAAATGGAGTTAAATAAATTTGTTGTCATTCAGTCAAAAGCAAGTTGCGAGTACTTGTTTCGGCTGATGAGCCATAAGGCAGATGTAGCACAGAGGTCAATAAATGAACTCTATACCAACCTGCTTTGACTGAATCCTGGCCCTAGCACTGTTTCTTTTTTTCCCTCTACTTTCTCTTTCTTACTTATGGGCACCTCTTTGTTGTACCTTTATGAAAGTTACTTAATTTTTTGTTCCTCAGTTTTCCCCTCTTCAAAATGGGAATAATATGGTTCTCACCAGGGGACTAGAAATAAAGTATACAATAATCTCCTGAGGCTTAGACCAAATTCTGTCGTCAAATTTATAGAATCACGGTTTTCAGAGCTTTTTGATTTTGTACTTGCAGGAAAGTAATCTCCAACACTTAACTGCTTATGTCATTGTAATAATTAAATGAGTTCATAATTACGCAGTGCTTAGAATATTACCTGACAGGTAATAAGCACAATGTATAAGTGTTACCAATAACAGCCACAGTTAACCCTTGAACAGCATTGGGTTTGAACTGGCAGATCCACATACAAGTTTTTTTTTTTCTGTTGACAATTTTGCATTCATGGACTCAACTAACCACAGATATAAAGGAACTGAGCAGTCCTGATTATGGTATCTCAGAGAAGCATGGTCTTGAAACCCCTTCCTCCCACCCACTCCACCCCAGAATACTACAAGCCAACTTAGATTTTTGGCCACTCTGAGAGTCAGCAACCCCTGAGTTGTTCACTGGTTAACTACAGCATGATTTTTATATAAATAGACTTTCTAGGAGACTATAAACAGGAAATTTTAAATTGATGACTAAATATGGTTTAGAAAGCAATACCTTAGAGATTCATAGGCACTAGTTCTTTAGAACAATATTCCAGGGTAAATTTCTGAGTAGAAATGTTCTACATCTTTATGGTTCAGTACGATAGCAATTGGTCACTATCCAATGTAGTTTTGAGCACTTAAAATGTGTCTGACTGATTCCATTTCAATTGAAGTAGATTTAAACATGGCTTGTAGCTATTAGAATAGCACAGCTACAGTAGGTTCCCAGTAGGAGTATGTATGGACTATGTAGACTGATGACAGATGGATTTTAGCATTATTAAAAATAAAACTGAGTTCTGGGGCTGGAGCAATAGCACAGTGGGTAGGGCGACTGCCTTGCATGCGACCAATCCATTCAATTTCCAGCATCCCATATGGTTCCCCGATCACACCGCCAGGAGTAATTCCTGAGTGCAGAGCCAGGCTGGGTGTGACCCAAAAGGAAAAAAAAGAACTGAGTTCTGCACCCTGGGAATAGAGAGGTCCACATAAAGCCAGAGAATGTTCTCATTGTTTCTAGGCACAGTGGTTGGTCCCTCGCAAAGGGCATTTTGGTTTCTTCTTTATTCATCAATGCCCCATGCCACTCTCCTCTTGGTAGTTTCACAGTCCTGGGTCACATGCTACACTAAGCCTCAACAAAGACTCCCCAAGTCCTTATCTAGAAGAACTGGGTTCCCCAATTCCCAGCCTTTCCTTTCTTCTACCAAAGTTCCACTAGCTTCTTTATTGCTAAGACTTCAACCAGATTGGGAAGAAAGTTAACTTGGTCACAAATATTCATACTCTAAAATATTGTTGCTAGCACAGCGGGTAGGGCGTCTGCCTTACACGCGGCCAACATGGCCGACCCGAGTTCGATTCCTCCGCCCCTCTCGGAGAGCCTGGCAAGCTACTGAGAGTATTCGATATGCCAGACACAGTAACAACAAAGTCTCCAATGGAGACGTTACTGGGCCCGCTCGAGCAAAATATTGTTGCATTTTCTAGCTTCTTCACTGTTCTCCTCTGTACCCAAAAGTCTGATACCGTTTTGTTCTTTTGACTCTTCCCTCTCGCTCAGTAGATGTAGTCCAGGTAGATAAAAAAGGAACCCAATTGAAGCAGGTGGTGTCCTATAGTCACTACTTGTCAGCTGAACAGAGAAGCCTGGCTCAATGCTAACATCACCCCCCTGCCAGGCATGGGAAACATTCTCTGGTCTCTGCACGAGAAAATTGAGCCCTTGTGCACAGGTTTTTCTAAATCTTCCTTTATACATCCAGAAATTTGTAGCTAACAAATTGCACATCAAATGAATGGTTTTAAATTTTGATAAAACCCCAAAGAAGAAAATAACTAAGAACAGTTGCAAACAGAAAAAGAAAGCCAACCACCTTCACTGGAATCTAGCTTCACCACAACCCACTTGAGCATGGAATTTTTAATGACACAGGTCAACCTTGGAACATATCCAAGGAGCTTATGTTACTAGAAGGACTGGAAGAAAGTCCCTTCAGCTGACACCTCTTATGTGGTCCTAAGACATGGACCAAAAATGATTAACAAGTTGATTTCTGGGCATAAAGGAAATTTCCCCTGTGGGATTATAAATAGAGGACAAGGGGAACGGTAAATATTGTACTTTTCTCTAAATCTTTGCAATTATATGTCCCTTTTCAGAGCAGAGATTTGTGAAGAACCAAAGTCAACCTTCATTATTTCTAGAAGATCTTCTAGATATAAGCACTGTGCCAAGAAATGAGATATGAAGACAAATACCTCTCAGAGAAGGAAGTAGGGAGAGAAAATCCTACAGGTAATATAGGAATCAAATCAGAGGAAGCGACAGTTGATTATTTGGGGCTGGACACACTGACAGTCTCACGAAAGACTCAGATGGAAGGACAGTTAGGTTTTAGAGTATTAAGAGCTGGGGAGGAAGGCCATCAGAAAGAGGAAAAGGTCCTCCAGATGAAAAGGTTGACAAGCATGTTTTAGAAAGTATTTTCCAAGACATGGTTGCAAACAGCAACCAGACAGACCCCCACAGACCATCTCCACCAATGACAGCTGGGTCTCTCTACAGACGTCTGTGGGGTCACCTGTACCCATCTCCCAGACAGGCTCTGAAAAATTCACAGAGAGAGAGAGAGAGAGAGAGAGAGAGAGAGAGAGAGAGAGAGAGAGAGGAAAAGTGGCTGTCACAGAGATAGGCTGGGAAGCAGGGGTGGTGGGAGGGAAACAGGGATCACTGGTGGTAGGAAATGGACATTGGTGGAAGGATGGGTGTTGGAACATTGTATGACTAAAACTCAATCATAAACGCCTTTGTAATTGTGTATCTCATGGCGACCCAGTTAAAAAATTTAAAATTTCATTCCCTCTTGCTTTTTTATGCCTTGCCTCATTCCATACTAGGGGCCACTGGGACTAAAAACTCCTACAAGTACCATATGGAAATGTGCCCATCTTGCAGAGACATATTTGACCGATGGGCAAAATTTTGAGAGTGCAGGTAAAATTATGAGACACACACACAAAAAAACTTTTCCATAAAGTAAACCCTACTTTAACATCTAGTCAGGGAGTTCACTCTTTAACAGAACAAGGATAAATGTTTAAACGATAACTTTTTTTTTTTTAGGCAGAATTCATTGGTTGCATTCGTTGCACAAAATACATATCAGTGTTTCAAGACCAGGCATACGGGTTGGAGGGGCCACCATAAATGGACCCATAAACGTGCTCTAGTGTCCAGAGTGGAGGCCTTGCTATGCTAGGTTATTCATTCGAGGACTTTAAGGGGAAAAAAAAAAAAAAGGACGGAGCCATTCTTCTAGTTAACAAGTTCAATTGGGATCAGGTCCAAAGCTGTATTTACTAGGACTCGGGGGAGATAAATTCCTCCAGGAACAATCGCTGGGGCACTTTCCTTGAAATTCTGTTGCTAGGTACCAGCCACATAAAGAGCTGCTATTTTCTGCTTTGCACTGGCCCGCTCCACGCGCGGTAAGGAGCAGGGAAACGGGAGTGGAGGAAAGCGCTTGGGACCTTCTCCGGCCCGGGTGGTGTCCGGCCTGCTTCTCCCGGGAGTCGCCTGCCCCGACGCCCCCTGAATCGGGGGGCGGCTGCGGCCGGGGTGGCGCACTTGGAGCCCCTCTGCTCGGCGGCGCGGCGGGGCACCCCGACACTTACGCCCGCATCTCCCGTCCTCGACGCCTGGGGCCCGAGTTCCAGAGCCGCTGCCTCACCTTTGCTCGTCCGGCCCGTCGCGTCCGAGGCCCCAAGGGCACCGTCCCTGGGGGACGCGCCGGTGGCGAGTGGCGTCGGGCGTCCCTGCTCCCGGTGTCCGCCACCGACCGGGCGGGGTGCCGGGCGCGCGCCCCGAGCAGGCAAGTGCGGGGGAAGCGGCAGAGCCGGGGGAGGGGCGCCGGCCCCGCCTGCCCGCCTGCCCGCCTGCCCGCCTGCCCGCCTGCCCGCTGCGCCCGCGCGGGCCGCGCTCGCTCTGTCCGCGCCCGCCGCGCTCTGCGCGCTGCCCGGAGCGCGGCGCGGGCGGCAGCGGGGCCCCCGCCCTGGGCTGGGCTTTCCCAGAACTCGCCCGCCCCGGTGAGAGGCCGCGAGCGCCGCCGCGGGCCGCGGGGCGCCGGGGGAGGCGGCCAGAGCCGGGCCCGCCCCCGGCCCGGGCCGCGCGGGGGGAAAGCGGGGGCGGGGCGCGACCCCAGGCCTCCTCTCTGGCCTGGGGGTCTGCTCAGAGCGTTGCCGTCCCCGGCTCGGGCGGGGGCCGGACTTCTCGACCCCCTCCAGCTGGGCACAGGGGAAAAACTTCACACCCACCCACCCCCAAGGACCGGGGCCCCTAACAGATGTGGAAACTGAGATTCCATCGCTTGTGGGAGCTGGAAGACTTGTTCAAATGGCAGCACCGGATCTTAAGTCCCTTCAGTCATTTTTTTCCTTTGAACCAAAAACTATTCAGCTGCAGGTGCTAGGGACACCTTCTTCTTCTTCTTCTTCTTCTTTTTTAAGTTTTATTAGTGAGACACCATGAGGTACAGTTGCAGACTTACAGATTTTGTGCTTAGGTTTCAATTATGCAATGGTCAAATACCCATCCCTCCACCAGTGCCCATTTCCCACCACCACCAGTCCCAGTATCCCTCCCACCCCCCCATCCCCCTATCCCACTCTGCCTCTGTGGCAGGGCATTCCCCTCTGTTCTCTCTCTCTCCTTTTGGGTGTTATGGTTTGCAAAAGAGGCATTGAGTGGCAATCATGTTTGGTCTGTAGTCTACTTTCAGCACGCTTCTCCCATCTTGGGAGGATCCTCCCAACACCCTTTATTTGGAGCTCCCTTCTCTTTCTGAGCTGCCTTTTCTCCTAGCATGTGTGGCTGACCTCCAAGCCATGGAGCAAAATTCCTGGTACTCATCTCGGCCTTTCTTGAGGGACACCATTCTTGCTGCTAAGAGTAACCTCCATCTGGTGTTTGCGGGTCCCAGCTCCAGTGCGCTTGCTTTCTCTGAGGATGCAAACTGGAGAGGCTCATGATTGCTGGAGTGAAGTTTCTAAAGCCACTTGGCAATCTGACATGCCAGGGAACTGGAGAAAATTCTATCACTTTCTTCCTTGCCTTTCAGTCCCCATCCCCACCCGCTCCAATCTCGTTCCTCTTTTCTCTTCATCCATTAAACAGACAAGTGACACTTTTCAATGGGTCTCCCTCCCATGTTCAATAAGGACGGGTTCCTGTGGCCCTCATCCTCTCCTACCTAACCTCTCCTTGGCCTAAATATTTGCTTACTGCCCAGTCATTCTTTCTCTTCTCTGCCTTGAATCTGTGCAGGGATTTTCAGAAACTTCTTACTGCCTAGCAAAGCAACACCCACACACCCCACCACCCCGTGACTGTGGGACCTGATGAATATGGATCACCTAAAGGGTTGTTCATCACTCCAGATCTGTATCTGTACTTCAGACTGAACTTCAACATGAAGTATCACCATTCCAGTCCAATCGAGTTTCACTCTATCTTTCAAGTCCCTCTTCTAAGTGACCTCTCTGAGCTGGAGAGACAATATGGTGGGTAAGGGTGTATGTGCCCTGCAAGAAGCCAACCCAGGTTTGATCCCCAGCGCCCCATAGAGTTCCCTGAGCACCAAGTCAGGCATAAGCCCTTAGCCCTGAACAATTAGGTGTGCCCCTCACCTCATCACTCCACTCCCCACTGTCTGCCCCACCACACTCCTACCAAAAAAGAAAAAAGAAAGAAAGAAAGAAAGAAAGAAAGAAAGAAAGAAAGAAAGAAAGTGACCTCTCTCTTCAACTTGTAGCCTCCAGGTCACTGGAGAGGTTGAAGAAAGAATGAAAGGAGGGCACCAAAGAACGTTGCCTAACAGAAAAAAAATCTACCAGTCTGCTTCTTAGACTGATTTTGCTGTTTTCTCACCGCTAGGATTTTAATGAAAAGTCAACATTACCTCCTGTCTTGTGAGCTGATATTGGAAAAGTATGTGCAGAGGACTCTGAGAAAACTATTCATTAAGGACTCAGAAATTTTGCACTGGAGCAAGAGTCAGTGGTCATTTACTGTAGTTCTGACACTGCAATGTCCTGAGCAGGTAAGAGTCAGGAAAAGGGAGACCTCAAGTGACAATAAACAAGCCATTTGTCTAATACCTGGTTCTGTGTTACGGTTTTATAATCAGTTTAATAAATCTGTAATACCAAATATCATCAATCACCTGGTACTGCCTATAGACTTGTATTTTCTATTATTATAAGGCACATAAAATTAGATTGCTGCAAACTAGTAGATGTGCAAGTAGTTAATGTTGATTGAATTCCCTCAGTGAGCTAGTATCCAAGGCAAGTGTCGGTCTGCTCAACAGGAAAGTTATTGGTGTAATAATCGACACTGTCCCATCTCAGGAAAAGCGCACCTTCCTCGATTCTTTGCAAGAGCAGGTTCCAGTCCATGTCCTCTGCTTGCCCCCCTCATCCCCCTCTAAATGAGACTGAAGGGAGCCATGTCCCTGAAACTGCCTCACCGCATTGGAATGTCTGAGCTAACAGTGCTTCCAGAGGGTTCATTGCTCCTCTGAACAGCACTGCCCAGACTTTCTGGAGATTTTAATTCACTCCCCAACCTCGCCAACAGTTGCACACAAGGTGCCTTTTTACACCCTGCTTGCTGTTCAGTGAAACACACAGTCCATCACAGGGAAACAATGGTGCCATTCAAGACTTTTTCAGAAGTGCAGCATATAAACTCCATGCTGTGGGTTGCTGCCAGGCATTATCTGGAGGGAGAAAGACCTTCAGATAAAGTGTTGCAAATTGAGGGAACACTACACTATTTTCATGGAAAAATTCAGCATCAATAAGCTAAGTTTTGCATCTTTGTGTACAAGACCATTATACACAATAATAGTAATGATTTTAAATAAAAATAAAAACAAAAGACCTACGATATAATATGATGGAAACTTTATTTAAACACTGGGCATCTCTGTTTCAAATTTTAGAAGCTGGCATCCCTTTCAAACTGGAGATTTTCCATTATGTATGTTCTCCATTTGATGAAAATTGATTTAAGTGATAAATATTGGGACAAAGAAATTTCAGTTGTAAAATCATTGAAAAATGGATTTTTTTCCTCTCTACTTTCTTTCTCTTCTATCCTGTAATTTTTCAGATGGGGGATGGTCCTTGACTCCATGGGCAGCAGCCAACAAAAGGTCCCTCACCCCCCTAGTATACTTATCACAGGAAAAAAATTGGTTCTTTGCCATTCTCAACAAGCCAGCCATCAGTTAACCTATTTATTTATATACAGACCTGAAAGATAGGAACTGAATAGTAGGCACAAGCATCATTGACAAATGTATTGATCTTTGTTCAGTATAAGTTAATTGCCAAGCAGAAGCATTTGCTAACAGACATCTGGGTAGCCTGAAAGCCAAGGAAGGAACAAGCTACCCCTTAGTTTATGAGTTGCCATTTCCTCTCATTTCAAGTAGCTACATCAGATTGTACCCGTTTGCCAGCTGTCTGGAGTAGGCACGTGTGTTCATCAGTGGGAAGAGAGCCAAAAATAAGCTTTCCAGAGTTATCCGGGGGGGGAGGAGGAGGTAGAAGAATTTAAGGCTGTTTGAGGTTAGTGAATAATCGTCAGTGTGTTAAAGCAGTAGGTAGCACTTCTGTGAGGTGGTTAGGAGTGAGAGTAGAAGGGATTTGGTGGAGCCCTGAGGGAAACTCAGAAATATCATCTGTATCAGTTAGGATCTCAGCTAATAGCAGCAGCCTCCGCCATGTTCTCAAGGCCTCCTCCCATTGCCACCCCACTTCTGTGGCAAACTCATCCCTCAGGATCTGTTACCATGGGTCATGTGCTATTCCTTTACTATGTTTCTTTATACTCCACACATATTAAGAGCACCAGTACGCAGTTGTCCCTCTCTCCTGACTAATTTCGCTCACCATGATACCCTTTGGTTCCTTCATTATACTGGTAAATTGCATAATTTCAACTTTTTTGACCAGGGGGATGGTGCTACACACCATAATACATAGGACTTACTCCTGACTCTGTGGTCAGAGATCCCTCCTGAAAATGCGAGGGAGACAATATCCAATTCTAGAGATCGAACCCAGGTTGGCTGCATACAAGACATGAACCCCAACCCCTGTATTTTCTCTGGTCCCATTTCATCTTTTCTTATAGCTGAAAATCACAGTTTTAAGTAAAATGGTCATATGAGACTTCAATGAGAAAGTACATTTAAGAAGAGATTTGCAGGCGGTGAGGGCAGGTTAAAGTGCTGTTATTTTCCTCTGCTCTCCATCCTCTTTTTGTTTCATTAAATTACAAAACTGAACCTCTGTGAAATTTCCTACTCCTTTCTGAGTCTCTGATTTTTCTGGACATGGCTAAATCCCAACCAATGATATACAAATAACTGGCAAGTATGCAGCATCCCAGTAATGTCTTTAAGATTGAATTGCTTGCCTTGGATTTCCCTTCTCCCTTACAATTATCTGAGATTGGCAAGACCCAGCTTGCTCAAAGAGAGAGCGAAGCTCCATGTAGAGAAAGCAGAGCAGTTGAATCAATCTCCAACCACTCCCTTAAGGACTGTCATAAAGTGGGAAGTTGAGAGATGTTCTCCCCATCCAGATGGGAGAAATTATAGCATATTGTTATTTTGATAGGACTGACGCAGATAGAGTGAGAAAAATGGATAATGCAGAAGAAAGAGGCATGAGTTTCTTAAAAATGTTGTTGAGTAAATCGAGAGAAAGTAGAGCCTAGTATTCAAGTGGAAGGGCTGGCCTGA